AGGAGGAAGGAGGAGGAATGAGGAGGAGGAGGAGGAAGGAGGAGGAGGAAAAAGGGGGAAGGAGGAGGAAGAAGGAGGAAGAAGGAGGAGAAAGAAGGAGGAGAAAGAAGGAGGAGGAAGAAGAGGGAGAAAGTAGGAGGAGGAAGAAGGGGGAGAAAGAAGGAGGAGGAAGAAGGCGTCAAGTGGCGCCTCGCGTGCGGAGGGATGAGCGCGACAGCAGGGGGGTTCCTTCTCGCTGCTGCTTCCACCCTCCGCAGCCAGTGAACAAGAAAACAAAAATCAGAAAAAAGTTTGACGCTTGTTGATTGATTTGTGAAGTGTGCAAAGTCTTGTCCCTGCCTTGGCCCGACACGCGCTTCCCGACCGTGTAGCATAGAGTTGTCGTGGGGGGCGGGCCATTGATTTTCCCCGCATCAAACTTCACATCTTTCGCACTCCACGACCCCCCCCCCCCCAAGAAGTGGATGTGGCTCGTGATGAAACTCACCGTGCAGTAGATGAAGAAGGCGCCAAGCGCGATCACCCGCAGCAGGACAGGGCTTGCCGCGCGGACAACCTGCAAACACACAAAAAAGATTGCGAAATTAAGAGGGAAGCTTGGAAAGAATGTGAAATAAGTTGAAAGAAAAACAGCGACACTTTTTAGGTCAACTGTTTTCGACATTTTTTAACAGGAGCAATTTTAGGATTCAACACGAAATGTCTAAACTGAAAACGCAAGAGCGTGAATGTCCGCACAGTCGTTGGTGTGTAAATTCCCTTTCGTACACCTACGTGTACTCGTTTGAGAATTCACATATTTTTGCTTGCATGTGTACGAACGGTATCCATATACACTTACAAGTGTGCGACGTTCACACACTTGCGGTTTCCTCGACGAAGCTTTGGAATGAGTAATTCGGCGAGCCGCGCGCACGGAGGTGCTGGAAACACTTTTGCAACACGCTGTATTACAGGGTAAACACAGGGGCGACCACTAATGCAGCCGAGGGCCGGGAGGGCCAAAGGGCCTCACCCCTGTCTAAAAAGAGCAGAGTCCTGGTCCGTCCTGCTTCGGGGGCGCCCGCATTACGCACTGGGGGAGCCCTGCTCGGCCGTCTCTCTCGCACTACTCGCAGGGAGAGGGAGAGGTAGGAGAGCGAGAGACAGAGGAAAGACAGACGGTGAGAGAGCCCGCCCGGGCCCGGCTGCTGTGGCCCCAGACAGCGGCCCTCTGGTTAGAGTAGGCCAGCGGTGCCAACAGTGTCACAAGGGGGTTGGAGTAGACAGGGAGCGGGGGAGGGCGGGGCTCAAACGTCTGTCAGCAAGCGAGTACAGTACACAACAACACCGTATATGGCGTGGACGTGGGCCGCTAGAGCTGTCAAACAAAGAAGAAAGAATGGTGTCTGCCGCGCGCTCCTCTGCATCTGCACTGCTACCGAAATGAACCAGTCCGTTGGAGCCAGAGGGAGTGGTACAGAAGGGGAGAGAGCGGGGTATAGAGAGTGGTGGGCAAAGGCAGGAGGCCGCAACTCGTGTAATTCACGTTGACCAAGGGCGAGTCAGTTTCACTACTAAATGCTGGAGGACAGCCCCGCCTCAGTCCTCGGCACAACCCCCCGCCCCCTCTCTTCCCCCTACCTGGCCTGCGCCTCGGGGC